CTGTCCCCACTGTTCCCACAACTGTTCCCACCACGGTTCCACTCTCCCCACTGTCTCCACGGACCCAACCACTGCCTATCCCCACTGTCCCCACTGTCCCACTGAGCTGTCCCCACTCCTCCGCTGTCCCACTGAGCTGTCCCACTGTTCCCACCACTGTCCCCACTGTCCCCACCACTGTCCCCACTGCACCTCTGTCCCATTGTCCCACCGCCGTCCTCGCCACCGCCTTTACCAGTGTCTCCACCACCATTGTACCCTCCACTGTCCCAGTGTTTCCACCTCATTCCCACTGTCCCCACACCACTGTCCCCACCACCACCGTTCCCACCACTGTCCACTGTTCCCCCTGTTCCCACCATTGTCCCCACCACTGTCCCCACCACTACCGTCCCCACCACTGTCCCACTGTCCCCCCGCTGTCCCCACCACTGTCCCGCTGTCCCCTCACCACTGTCCCCACCAACACCGTCCCCACCACTGTCCGCATCCCCACTCGGTTTTCGAGGGGGCGGGGGGGAGGGGGGGGTTCGAACCGGTAGTGACCCCCCCCCTCTTTTCATGATGAGCAGGGGGGGGGGGGGGGGAGGATTCAAACCGAATAAGTAGACCCCCCCGGTTTTTTTCCCGGAGGGGGGGGGGGGGGAGGGGTTCGAACCGGTAAAAAAAAATAAAAAAGTAAATAAGAAAAGAAACGAAGGAGGAAATAAAGTGACCCCCCGCAGGTGCAGGTTTTCCGCCAGCAGCGGTAGAACACGCTCTTTCAATGATGAAGGTCCTGACATGCCCCAAGGCTTCTGAAGGCCCCTGGGTCCATCGGGGGAGAAGAAGCTTCCGCGGGGCACCTGCTGGCAGGCCGGCTTCTCATTGCACGCGCCTGGTGTACAGTCATCTGCGCCGCCGTCGCCACAGAGCGGAGACCGTCGTCGCAAACGCCGACGCCGCAACGAGGCAGGGGCTGGCCGTCGCCGTCGTGCAGTCATCCGCGCCGCCGTAGTCGTCATCGCATCGCCGTGCAGCCATCGTGCTGCCATGAGAAACGCTGCGGCGCCTTGAACGACGTCGGTCGTCGCCGTCACCGCTGTCGCCGTCGCCGTCGCCGTCGCCGTAGAGTACAGTCCTCGTGCTACCATACCAAGCGCTGGGCGAGGAGCGAAGGGGCTCTTCTGGCCATGGCGGGCACCGGCCACAAAGCAGCTCTGCGGCCTGGGTCTGAGGAACGGCAGACGTCGCCGCCGTCGTCGTCGCCGTCGCCGTCGTCGCCGCCGCCGTCGTAGACGTGGCCGTCGTCGTCGCCGCAGTCGCCACCGCCACCGGCGTCATCGCCGCCACCGTCATCCCCGCTGGCGTCGTCGTCGTCGTCGTCATCGTCGTCGTCGTCGTCGCTTCGTCGTCGAAGGCTCGAAGGTCGAAGGCTCGAAGGTTCTTGGGCGCTTGCGGCCTTCACGCGGGGCCTCCAGACGCCTCCAGGGACCGAGGCCTCCGGAACGGCGTCGGCCGTCGCCGTCGCCGACGTCGCCGTCGCATTTCGCTGTCGTGCTGCACCGTCCTGCTGCCACAAGGAACGCTGGCTACAGTCGGGCTCGATTGGACAGGACACGCGAGAAGACACAGGACCCTTCCGAGGGCCACACTGCCACAGGAATGTAGGAAGCATGGGTCGCGAGACACAGGACGCAAGGGCACCCTTGATTTGGCAGGGTCGACCTACTAATCCGGGCCGACTGTGGGAAGCGGAGGGGCCTTGCTGGCCACGGCGAGGTCGCCGTCGTCGCCGCCGCCGTCGCCGTCGGTCTCCACCGTCGCCGCCACTTTCGTCGGCGTCGTCTCGCCCGCCCCCCGCCCCCTCCGCCGTCCCCCCCTGCCACCCTCCCCTGGCATCCCCGCTGCGACTCGGTAGCGCGTGTGATATTGGGAGAGAAAGAAAAGAGAGAGAGAGAGAGAGCACCCAACCCTCAAAAAGAACGGAGAGGAGACAGAGAGAAAAAAAAAAAAAGAGAGAGAGAGAGAGAGAAAAATATAAAGAAATCAAATGAGATAAAAAGGGAAAGAGAGAAAGAGAGAGAGAGAGAGAGAACACAAAAAGAGAAAGATAGAGAGACGGGGGAGAGAGTGAGAGAGAGAGTGAGAGAGAGACAGAGAGAAGACAGACAGACAGACAGACAGACAGACAGACAGACAGACAGACAGACAGACAGACAGACAGACAGACAGACAGACAGACAGACAGACAGACAGACAGACAGACGGACGGACAGACAGACAGACAGACTGACTGACAGACATATTGAGAGAGAGGGAGAGGGAGAGGGAGAGGGAGAGGGAGAGGGAGAGTCAGGAGAGAGGAAGAGAGGGAGAGAGTGAGAAGACGAGATATAGAGAGAGAGAGTCAGGGAGAGAGAGAGAGAGAGAGAGAGACAGAGACAGAGACAGAGACAGAGACAGAGAGAGAGAGCGACTTAAAGAGAGCGAGAGAGAGAGAGGTCTCTTTTACCATCAACGTATGCTTCACACTCTCTGCAGGGGACCTCTCTCAACCAGCGTGGGGCCAGGGCTGAACCTGCGTCGGCCCAGGAGTCGCCCTCGAGCGTGGCCCCCGCTGCCGCCCCACGCCCTGCGCAGCGCGGCCCTGCACGGCGGCGCCTCCCTCCGCCCCCTCTGCGCCCGCGCGGCCGCCGACGGCGCCGTGCGCGGGGGGGCCGAGGTCGGGCGGCGCCGCCTCCGCCGCCAGCGCGTCCTGCTTCGCGGCGCTGCCGACGAAGTCGGCCACAGCCGCGCGCGCAGGAGGCCCTCCGCGGCCCGCGGCGGCCGGGTCCCGCGGGGACCGCCCCGCCGCCAGGCCGGAGGCGGCGCGTGCCGCGAGGAGGGCTCCTCGGGCAACCTCCGCGGCGCCCCGGAGCCCTGCACCCGTGAGCGTGCCCGGCGTCGGCGGAGCGGCGGCGGGGCCTGCAGCGCAACGCTTGAGCGAGATGGGCACTTGAGCCGAAAAATGGCGACGGTCAGAGAGAGAGAGAGAGAGAGGCAAGGGAGCGAGAGTGAAGGAGGAGGGGGAGGAAAAAGCAGACGACACGCAGGACGAGGAGGGGTATTCAGGAGGAGGAGGAGGAGGAGGAGGAGGAGGAGGAGGAAGGCGGGAGGAAAGGGCGAGGAGGAAAGAGCGAGGAGGAAGGAGGAGGGAGGAGACGGGCCGCGCCTCCGGGCGGACCCGGCGGCGGCGGCCGCGGGGCGCGCCGCACCTCTCCAGGAAAGGGGCGCGCCGAGGACCACCGGCGGCGGAGGGGGGGGGGTAGGGGAGGGAAGGGGGGCGCGGGAGGGAAGGGGGAGGCCGCCCTCCTCGAGGGCTGACCCGCCCTCCAGCAAGCTGGTGAACATCTCCCTGGGGCTGTCCCGCCCTCCCCTCCGCCTCCCCCCCCGAGGGGGGAGGGGGAGGGGGAGGAGGGCGGAGGGCGGAGGGCCGGGAAGGGGTGGCGGAGGAAGAGGAGGTGGGGGGAGGGGATGGGGGAGGGAGAGGGAGCGAGAGGAGGCGGGAGGAGGAGGAGGAGGAGGAAGAGGAGGAGGAGGACGAGGAGGGAGGAGGAAGAAGAGAAGGAGGTGGAGGAGGAGGTGGAGAAAGAGGAGGAGGACCGGAATAAACCGACGATGCATCCGCGACGCTGCAACGCAACCCCCTGCCCCAAGTTCCCTCCTCACGAGTCCCTACAGGCCTTCCCGTTCACTACAAGGAGCGCCACCTTGAAAGATCAGCACCCCAAGCGAGAGAAACGTTTTGACAAAACAAACTTGCCTCGCACCCTTCTGGCGCACAATCAGGACTGCAACACGGTGCTATTGTACAGCTCCACGAGGTGTCCAGCGAGATCCCCGTTGTTTTTTATATATATATATAAAAAAAAAATTAAGAAAAAGAAAAAACAAAACAAAAAAAAAACAAAAAAAAAAAAAAAAAAAAAAAAAAAAAAAAAAAAAAAAAAAAAAAAAAAAAAAAAAAAAAAAAAACACGCCCCCCGCCCGTGCAAGCTGTTGCACAGGTTTGCACTCATGGTACGGCCGTGAGCCTCGAGGAAGTCTCAAGCGAGAGAGCTCCCTTGCAAAGAGGAACCACCTCCATCCGTGCAGAGGCTGCATATGTCAAAGCTTCTGCTCTTCAAATGTAGGGAAGTCTCAAGCGAAAGGCGCGGTTGTGAAGAGGAATCGCCCTCCATCCTTGCGCCTGGTGCAAGCTGTTACATCCAATGCGCGCGGCGCTGAGGCGAGAGCTCAAAGTGACCGCCCTCCACCGTTGGAGTTGCTGCAAGCTTTGAAAGGGAATGTACGCGGCGTTTGGGAGAGAGCCCCATTTGGAAAACAACCTCTGCTCCATTCAAGATAAAAAAAAACTCAAAATTCAAACGTCAAGATAACCGTCGAGATAACGTGTAACTGTTGCGAAATTCAGACGTCAAGATAATAAGTTGTGCAAAAGCATCGGGCGAAACGCCTGGCCCGCTCTGCCGACACGTCTCGGAATGCGACGGGGGAGAGCGATCTGTATTCAACGGAAGCGAACGGAGGAGGAGGAGGAGGAGGGTGCACGAGGAGGAGAGCAAGAGGAGGAGAGGACGATGCTGCCATACACCCTCCTGCCTCGAGTCCCCTATTCGTGGGTGTCTGCAAATGTTCCTCTCCCTCTCGCTCTCTCTCTCTCTCTCTATTTCTCTCTCTCTCTCTCTCTCTTTCTCTCTCTTCCCAGAGATCCAATATCTTGTTTTTCCAAACGGGGTCCCCAGGAATCACTACACTCTACCCAGGATCGGCGTTTCATCCAAAGTCGTTTGTTGTAAGTGCACAGGACACGGCGAGGGCCCCCAAAGGCCGAAACTAGCAAAGACCCTGCCGTCTTGATATTTTGAAGGACGTGAGCGGGTCTCGTTCTCTCTCTCTCTCTCTCTCTCTCTATCGCTCTCTCTCTCTCTCGCTCTCTCTCTCTCTCTCTCCCTCTCGCTCACACACATACACACTTTTCTGCGCACTACGTGGGGGTCCAGGCCAACGGGCGCGCCGCTTAGAGGTCGAAGGGCACTCAAGCACCCCCCCCGATCTGGAGGCGGCGCTTGGCCATCTGCTTCTTGGTGAACTTCTTCGGCTTGACCTCCTCGGCGGGGGCCTCCACCGATTCGTCCTTTCAGGGAACAGACAAAAGCAAAATATAAATGTTGGGAGCTCCGCGCCGATACCATAAATCAGCGCGGAGCTCCAGATGCTTTTGATTATGCAATGTGTTTGTCTTCGTTCCTTCTCTTCCAAGATCATCTCGATGTGGCACGGATTCGACATGTACGGCCCGATGCGTCCGTGGGCACGGTAGGTCTTACGCCGGCCCTGTTGCGCGGGGTTCACTTGGATGTGCTTGACGAACAGGTTGTCCGTGTCGAGATTCTTGAAGTCAGCGTTGCTCTCCGCGTTCTGCAGAAGGCCCAGCAGGATCTTCGCGGACTTCACAGGCCACCGGCCCTGCGACATCTTGAACGCCTTTGCCTGGGGGGTGCGCCCGATGCAGCCGGTGTACTTCCTGAAGGGGACGCACTGCTTCTTCTCGCAGACGTCCTCAGAGCAACAAAAAAAATGCATACACATATATGTTCGGAGGTCCGCACGGATTTCTTGGATCAGGACTGCACTGCCCTCCCTGGCGCGCGGAGCGCAGCTGGGCCAGCGCCAAAGGCGCCGACAGGGGCGCCCCCATGCGGAGCTCCGAAAGTTTGTGTCCATGCCTTCTTTAAAGTGTGCGAGTCCTGCAGGTACGCCTGCGCGGCCTTCAGATTCATGCCCTTGATCGCCTGGGCGGCCTCGTACGTGTTCTTGTAGTGGACGCGGAGGTCCACACCCTTGGCCTTGCAGGCCTTGCTGGGGTTGGCCGCCTCCCTCGAGTACTTGCCCATCGCTCCCTGGCCCTCGTGGCCTCCGTGCAGGCCGCCCAGATGGGGTCGGAGCAGACGGGGGTCGGAGGATCGCACCGCAGCTAGCAGAAAAAGACTGTATCAGCAAAGCCTTGCGGAGGTCCGCGCGGGTCTCCTGGATCGGCGCTGCACGCCCCTCTCTGGCGCGCGGGGGGGCCAGCGGAGGCCCACGAACTCCGCGGGGAACTCCGCAAAATGTCACCCATGCCGTCTCTCCTGCTTCGAGATACGTTGGCAAGACACCCGCGATGCCAGGACTGAGATCGGACTCCAGGTGAGCGCCAGGAAGGAGCGGGTCTTACGCACGTTGACACAGCGACCCCACCCCGCGGCTCGTGCGGGCCGCCAGAACGGCGCGCCACCGCAGAAACGGTTGCCTGGACAGCTTACGCGCAACCGTCCGTGCAGACGACCCCGTCGTTCTGCATCGCTCGGGTCGCGCCGCATCGCCGATGCATCGGAGCGAGAGCGAGACGCCGGGACGAGCAAGCTCTGACGAGCACGCTCGTGCCCCCCTTGGGCAGGGCGCGAGAGGCCGTGGCCTCGACGAGTGAGGCTGCCTCGGAGATGTCGCCCTGCCGATGCATCGCCGCTGCACCAGTGATGCACCTGCGAGGCCCTCTGGCCACGCCCGCTCGGCCCCCATCTCGAGGGCGGCCCGGCCTCTGCGCGCTCGGACCGTGGGCGGCTTCGCGCCTCTGCGAACCCCCCGAGAAGGAGCCGGAGCCAAGACAGCTGCAGATGCTTCTCTGGCCTGTGCCCGACCTGCCTCGAGCTTGCCCCTGCCCACCCCCCAGATTGGCAAGCCCGAGAGCGATGACGATCTTAGGGAGAATCACGCCTTCAGAAACTGAGGAAATCCCTAAGATCGGCATCGAGATACGATGACACCAATCATAAGGATAGGGATGTTCTCAGGCTGGTAAACGTCGTGAATGTTGGGCCGGTCCCAGGCAAATCCTGAAGGTCTACTCTGGATGAAACACTTATGAAGGGAAGGGTGATTGACCTTCCGACACAGCTTGCCCACCCACACTCTCCTCCTCCTCCTCCTCCTCCTCCTCCTCCTCCTTCCTCCTCCTCCTCCTCCTCCTCCTCCTCCTCCTCCTCTCCTCCTCCTCCTTCCTCCTCCTCCTCCTCCTCCTCCTCCTCCTCCTCCTCCTCCTCCTCCTCCTCCTCCTCCTCCTCCTTCCCCCCCCCGTCCACCCGTTCCGACAGCACGTACAGCGAAGGGTTGCAACGGGGCCACGAAGGGCAGCGAGGGGGCCACGAAGGGCAGCGAAGGGGCCACGAAGGGCTGCAACGGCGGGCCCACGAAGGGCAGCAATGGGGCACGGGGCCACGAAGGGCAGCGAGGGGGCCACGAAGGGCTGCAGCGGGGCCACGAAAGGCAGCGAGGGGGTCACGAAGGGCTGCAACGGGGCCACGAAGGGCAGCGAGATCCCGATTCCTAAGTAAGCTGCGAGGGAGTCCTAAGCATGAGCGCGACTCCTGGGTGCCTGAGTGTCGGGAGCGCGGCGCTTGAGTAAATTGCAGGGAATTCCAACGCAAGAGCGCGATTCTTGTGGAAATTGCAAGCAAGTCTCCAGCGAGAGTGCGACTCCAGAGCGCCGGGAGAGCGATTCCTAAATAAATTGTAAGGAAGTCCCAAGCGAGAGCGGAATTCCTGAGTAAAAATGTGAGGAAGTCTCAGGCGGGAGCGGGGGTCCTGGCTAAATTGTGAGGAAATCTATTGCGGGAGCCGTTGTTGCCGTAACCCGGGGGCCAAGGGCACAGTTTGAGCCTAGTGAGGTTCCCTGATAAAAGAAAACAAAGTGCGAGCCACGGGGGAAGCACTTCAATTAAAGAAATACAATGGTCACCTGAGGGGGGATCAACAATGATTACTCTTCGAACATGAAAATTCATCAACCACAACAAAAAACAACAATAACCACAACAACAGTAAGAATAATAACAACAACAACAACAACAACAACAACAACAACAACAACAACAATCATTTAAGACTGGGGACACTCCGTTCTCACCAGTGCCAGGGTTTTCATAGGAGGCGGGCAATACCCCCACTTTGTGGGGGGGCCGGTTCAAGCTCTACCAAATTTCCAAACGACTCTTCGCCACCACCCACACCCAGCTTCCCGCCCTATGACGTTCGGACACTTCACTTCGTGGCATGCGGACGACCGTGGCTACTATTCAGGGCCCCGCGGCCGACGACGACGGCGTGCGCGCGCGAAGAAAAAACGAATGTGTCCCGCATGGTATTATTTGACAGGGATGATGGCCCTGGCAGGTGCGCAACCGTTGTCGCAGAAGTTCGAAAAAGTTGCTCGCAAAAGCCCGTTTGACAGAAATGTTTAAAAAGTGTTGGGTTTCCTACGAATCCGCAAGAGCGCGCGGGATGAGATTTTGACATTTTTTGTTGAAAAACCATTGGTTTTTTGATGTTTTTATGTTAAAATCGCTCCGAACACTAAGCTTTTGGAAGGATTTCGTCTTGCGCGCGCGAATGTCCACTTTACCTTATTTTTTGCAAGGGATTCTTGAAATTTGATTATATTAGAACAAGAAATGTCATTTTATAGTGTTTTTTGCAAGGGAAAACGGATTACAACAAAACAACCGGATCTGGATCACATCGTTTTACCTGAGGCTTCCTCACGAAAATGATGAAAATGTAGCTGCGGCCTAGGCGGCGCAGGGGGGGCGTGCACCAGGGGGCCCAACAATAATTATTCTTTAGAATAAATAATGTTCAACAACAACAACAACAACAACAACAACAACAACAACAACAACAACAACAACAACAACAACAACAACAACAACAACAACAACAACAATAACAACAACATCAACAACAACAACAACAACAACAACAATAACAACAACAATCACAACAACAACAACAACAACAACAACAACAACAACACCAACATCAACAAGAACAAGAACAACAACAACGACAACAATGACAACAACAACAACAACAACAACCACAATCATGTTAAGGCTGTCCGCTCTTATCTGGTCGAGTGTCATACAACGTGTATTTCCCAAACCCTCGATACCCGCCCTCTTCGTCTTCGATCGTACCTTTTTGGGAGGGGGCTACTTCTTACCTGTAGGCCGGGCGCGGGCAAGCGGCGGGGCGGCCGCAGATCGTCGGCCTGGCCAGCGGCACCACTGATCGGCGGCAACCCGACCCCAAGAGGGAGGGACAGGGGACCGATCGCGACGACAACGACGACGACGACGACGAACGACGACGACGACGACGACGACGAACGACGACGACGACGACGACGACGACGACGACGACGACGACGGCGAAGAGACGACGACGACGACGAACGAAAGCGAGGGCGAGAGCGCGAGCGACAGCGGGGCCACGACGGGCGAAAAAAAAAGGGGCCACGAAGGGCGGCAGCGGGGCCAGGAAGGGCATGCGTAAAGGGCCACGAAGGGCGCGAACGAGCGGGGGCCACGACGGGCAGATAATGCGGGGGCCACAGAAGGCAATGACGGGGCCACTGAGGGTAGCAAGGGGGCCACGTGGTGCAGCGAGGGGGCCACGAAGTCCGAAAACGGGACCACGAAGGGCATGCATATGGGGCCACGAAGGGCGCGAGCGAACGGGGGCCACGAAGGCCATACATATATGGGGCCACGAAGGGCAGCGAGGGGACCACGAAGGGCTGCAACGGGGCCACGAAGGGCAGCGAGGGGGCCACGAAGGGGAACAACGCGGCCATGAAGGGCAGCAAGAGGGCCACGAAGGGCTGCAGCGGCACCACGAGGGGAAGCAAGGGGGCCACGAAGGGCTGCAACGGGGCCACGAAGGGCAGCAATGGGGCCACGAAGGGCTGCAGCGGGGCCACGAAGGGCAGCGAGGGAGCCACGAAGGGCTGCAGCGGGACCACGAAGGGCAGCGAGGGGGCCACGCAGGGCTGCAACGGGGCCACGCAGGGCAGCGGCGCTTGAGTAAATTACGGGGAGCTCCAACGCAAGAGCGCGATTGTTGAGAAAATTACGAACAAGCCTCCAGCGAGGACGCGACTCCAGGGCGCCCAGACAGCGAGTCCAGAATACATTGTAAGGAAGTCCCAAGCGAGAGCGCGACTCCTGCGTAAAATGCGGGAAAATATCAGGCGGGAGCGGGGGGCCCCTGGCTAAATTGTAAAGAAAACTATGGCGGGAACCGTTGTTGCTGTAACCCGGGGGCCAAGGGCACAGTTTGAGCCTAGTGAGGTTCCCTGATGAAAGAAGACAAGGTGCGAGCCACGGGGGAAGCACTTCAATTGAAAAAACAGAATGGTCACCGGAGTAGGGGATCAACAAATATTATTATTCAATCGGAAGAGCTCAACAACAACATCAACAGCAAAAACAACAACCACAACAACAAAAACAACAAGAAAAACCACAACAACAACAACAACAACAACAAACCACAACAATCACAACAACAACACGAACAACAACAACAACAACAACAACAACAACAACAACAACAACAACAACAACAACAACAACAATCATTTTACCCGAACGCTCAGTGTTCTCACCAGTGCCAGGGTTTTCATGCGACGCGAGACAATACCCCCACTTCGTGGGGGGGCAGTTCAAGCTCTACCAAATATCCAAACGACTCTTCGCGACCACCCAAACCCAGCTTCCCGCCCTATGACGTTGGGACACTTCACTTCGTGGCGTGCGGACGACCGTGGCTACTACACTGGCGTGGGGTACACACCCACAGAACTTGGTCACTTATTCGGGGCGCGCGTGTGCCCAGCATCCTGCAATTGTGACATACAATACATGACACAGACAGACAGAGAGAGAGACAGAGAGCAGACAGAGAGAGAGACAGAGAGAGCGGAGTTGGTCACATTTTTGGGGCAAGTTCCTGAGATCGTCGTGTTTTTTGTTGGTCTTGCGCGCGCGAATGTCCACTTTACTTTTTTTTGCAAGGGAGTATTGAAATTTGATTATGTTAGAACAAGAAAAAGTAGCTCGCGCGAGCTCATGTAACATAAATGTTGAAAAACCATTGGTTTTGTGGGAGTCGGACAGCGCGCGCGGGATGAAATTTGGACATTTTTTTTTGAAAAACCATTGGGTTTTTGATGTTTTTATGTTGAAATCGCTACGAAACCTAAGGTTCTGGAAGGATTTCGTCTTGCGCGCGCGAATGTCCACTTTACCTTATTTTTTGCAAGGGATTATTGAAATTTGATTATGTTAGAACAAGAAAAAGTAGCTCGCGCGAGCTCATGTAACATAAATGTTGAAAAACCATTGGTTTTGTGGGATTCGGACAGCGCGCGCGGAAGGACATTTTGACAATTTTTTCTTAAAAAACCATTGGGTTTTTGATGTTTTTATGTTAAAATCGCTACGAAACCTAAGGTTTTGGAAGGATTTCGTCTTGCGCGCACGAATGTCCACTTTACCTTATTTTTTGCAAGGGATTCTTGCAATTTGATCAAGTAAGAACAAGAATTTTCATTTTATAGTGTTTTTTGCAAGGGAAAACGGATTACAACAAAACAACCGGATCCGGTGACAATCCACTTTTCTGAAGCATTCGCTAGAAAATGAAGGAAATGAGGCTGCGGCCTAGGTTTTGGAGGGGGGTCGCGCACCAGGGGTCTCAACAATAATATTTCTTTAGAAGTAATAATATTCAACAACAACAACAACAACAACAACAACAA